CCAGCGCGTCCGCTCGCTCATTGTCCTTTCGAGGGATCTTAGTTATCTTAAACTTAGTGAACCCCCTTTGCAAGTTTTTGACCTCCATTAAATATGCAGCCATCTTTCCGTCCTTTGCTTCGAATTCCCCCGTCACTTACCCGATTATCAACTGAGAGTCGCTGCAAATTTCCACTGAGGTTACCCCGAGTCTGGCTGCCAATCCCAAACCCGTGATTACCGCTTCGTACTCGGCCTCGTTATTTGTTGCTGGGAATTCAAAGTGCAGTGAGTATTCCAACTCTTCTTCATTCGGACCTATCATTATGATCCCCGCCCTGGATCCTTCGTCATTTGAAGATCCATCGACAAAAATTTTCCAATCTGCCTGCTCCCCCGGTGGGAGCTCGGGCGGGGTGGTGAGCTCAACGATGAAGTCTGCTAAAGCCTGTGCCTTAATAGCTGTCCTTGGCCTAAATTCGATATCAAACTCGCTTAACTCAATGGCCCATTTTAACAGCCTCCCAGAGGTCTCAGGCCGATGTAGAATCTGCTTGATAGGTTGGTCAGTCATTACTTGCACCGTGTGAGACTGAAAGTAAGGCCTCAATTTCCTGACTGCGACAATTAATGCAAACACCAGCTGTTCAGTCAGGCTGTATCTTATTTCTGCACCCCTCAATACTTGGCTCACATAGTAGACTGGTTTCTGTGCCTTCGAGAACTCTTTCACCAGTGACTGCCTTTGGTGATACTGCCAAGTAGAGACACAACACGTCCCCAAGAGATGGGCTGGTCAAGACCGGGGGCTCTTGTAATGACTGCTTCAAGTTCCTAAGAGACTCTTCGCATTCCTGGGTCCATTCAAAATTGGAGGAGCCCCCTATGGCTTTGAAGAAGTGGTAGCATTTGTCCGCCGCCCGGCTCATGAAACGATTTAAGGCAACTACCCGCCCTGTCAACCTCTGGACTTCCTTCCTACTGGTGGGACTTTTCATTTCTAGGATCGCCTGAATTTTGTCCGGGTTCACTTTGATGCCCCTTTGCGTGATCATGAAACCTAGAAATTTTCCACCTGCGGTACCAAAAACACACTTCTCTGGATTGAACCTTAATCTGCTTTGTCGGGCAACGTCAAACACTTTTTGCAGACAGGCCACATGGTCATTGGCTCTGGCACTCTTGACCACCATATCGTCAACATAGACTTCTACGACATCCCCGATTAGCCCACGAAAGACTTTGTTCACCATCCTCTGATACGTCGCTCCTGCGTTTTTCAAGCCAAATGGCATGGCTGTGTAACAGTACGTGCCGAAGTCCGTGATAAATGACTTCTTCTCTTGATCGGCCTCGGCCATTGAAATTTGATGATACCCCGAAAATGCATCTAGAAAGCTGAGCCTTTCATGACCCGGCGTTGCGTCCACCAGTTGATCTATTCTGGGAAGTGGGTATGAGTCTTTTGGGCATACCTTGTTCAACCCAGTATAGTCTACACACATGCGCCATTTTCCATTTGACTTCTTCACAAGTACAACATTTGCCAACCACTCGGGGTATTGGACCTCTCGGATGAAACCCGCCTGTAGCAATTTTTCCACCTCTGCTCTGGCCGCAGCCTGCCTCTCAGGGGCAAGGTTTCTCTTTTTCTGCTTCACTGGCTTAGACCCTGGCTGGACACCGAGGTGGTGCTGCGCGACAGTTGAGCTAATCCCCGGGATATCATTTGGGTTCCAAGCGAAGACATCCAAAATTTCGGCTAGACACTTCGCCAATTTTTCCGTCTCTTCGGATCCCAGACCTGTTCCAACAAGAAACTCTTTTCCTTCGTCAATAAAGATTTTTTCAATCATATCAAGTGGCTCGATCCGCTCCCTCGGGAGTTCTACATCCAGCATCATGACTGATGGTGGGCTTTTGGCTTGTATACTATCCACATAGCATTTTCTTGAGGCATGCTGGTCTCCTCGCACGTTCCCGATCCCCCTGCTGGCTGGGAACTTCATAATTTGATGGTATGTCGATGGGACCGCGCCAGCCGCATTTAGCAATGGCCGGCCGTAGATAGTGTTATAAGCCATGGGGGTCTTGACAACCAAGAAATTAGTCACGATCACCACTGTTGCTGGGTATGTCCCAAGCATGACTGAAAGCTCTACAGTCCCTTCCGGTATCACTGTTGCCCCTCCAAAGCCTTGTAGGGGGGTAGTCACCGCCTTCAACCTTTCTTGAGGGATTTTTAGACCCAAGAAGGCATCCCAGGTGAGGACATTTGCCGCGCTCCCTCCATCGACTAAGACCCTCTTCACGTCAAAATTCGCAATATCGCCTACTATTACTAAGGCGTCATCATGGGGGTGGGTTACACCAATCAAGTCCTCCTCATCGAAAGTTATACTCTGGTTGAATCTTGCTTTTTTCTGTATAGAGCAGACCCTTAATGAGCGCGCATAACTCTTCCTAGCTGAATTTGAGTCGCCGCCCAATGCTACTCCTCCGATGATCATGTTTATCACTCCTGCTCTTGGTGGGGGAATACCTTCGACCCTTTGCCTGCCCTTATCGTTTTTCACATACTTTGCCAATAGCCCCCGTCTTAGCAGGCGCTCAATTTCTTCCTTTAATTGTAGGCATTCTTCGGTATCATGCCCGTGATCTCTATGAAAATGGCAGTATTTACTTTGATTTCTCTTGCCCGAAGGGGTTAGCA